GGAATCAAAGACGTGTTATGTCCGGCGTAGCCTGGCTTATAATTGGGTTACAGGAGTCCTACATGGGTTAGTGGCTTGGATAATTGTGCTATGTGTGTGTGGAGCCCACATGGTTCAGATATTTACCCGCTTAACATGTGATGGTATGTGTTATCTAGTTGTAGTTTTAGATGCAGATCATGAAAGAACCTCTGCGTCCACTGATAGTCCCCGATCCCCTTTCCACCACCTTCGCCGGTACAAGTAGGAGGGAGAGGAAGAGGAGGAAGACGAGGAGGAGGAGGAAGAGGAGGGCCAGTGTAAACCTGAGACTCATCAACGACGTTGGAATCCACCCTCCTTCGAAAATCCCTCTTCAGAGGGCCGTACTAAAGGTAATTTGCACTGAAGGAACTGCCCCGTTGGGGGACAACCGTGTGAACATCTTGAGGGGTGCCAAAACACCGTTCGGAGGACTTCAGCGCCACGAGTTGGACTGAGTGTTACGTGTTGGCGATCCTGAGCCGCGCCAGAACATTGGTCGTGGGAGTTCAACACCGCGAATCAACCTAACTGCTGCGCCCTGAAAATCTTGAAATTGTCCAAAACATCATTCCTGGCACGTCAACTATGATAGCCTGTGGGATGTTTGCAAATGTTTAACAACATGTGCGCGGTGCTGGGGCGAGAGCCGCATGTTGAAACGGATCCGCCCTCAATGGTTGCACCATCCTCTACATGCTTTTATTAAGCGAATGTGCGCGGTGCTAAGGTGATAGCCACATCTTCAAAACGACCCGCCTTCAATCCGCGCGCCTTTGGCACATCTTTATAACGAGTGTGCGTGTCGCTGAGGCGAGAGCTACGTTTTGAAAACTGCCTGCCCTCAAATCGTGAAGCCCTTTCGCACACTTCTAGAACTAATGTGCGCGTCGCTCAGGCGGGAGCCGCATTTCGAAAACCACCTACCCTCAGCACGTGAAGTTCTTAGTTTTTTTTGTTTTATAATGTGTGCGGCGGTAAGGCGCGACGTACATTTTGAAAACGAACCGCCCTCAATCCGTGAAGCCCTTGCAAATGTTTGAAAATGATGTGCGCGGCGCAAAGCCGAGAAACACATTTTGAGAACGACCCGCCCACAATCCGTGAAGCTCTCGGACATGTTTGAAACGAATGTGCGCGTCGCTGATGCGAGATATACATTTTGGAAACGACCAGCCGTCAATCCTCGAACATCTTGCAAATCTTTAGAACGAATGTGCGCGGCGCTCAGGCTTGAACCACATTTTGACGACCACCAGGCTTCAATCCGCAAAACTCTTGCACATTCTTGGAACGAAACTGCGCGGCGCTCAGGCGAGAGCCACATTTTGAAAACCACCTGCCCTCGATGTGTGAAACTGCCGTCAGTTTTAAACAGCTGGGTCATAAGCGGTGAGAAAGTCTCAGGCGAAACGGCCGGCCCGCTTTTTTGGACCGGCCTCGGCGTGCGTCAGGGAGGAGTTATCTATAAGGAAAAGGAATGGAGGAGGAGGAAGAGGAGGAAGAGGAGGAGGAGGAGGAGGAGGAGGAGGAGGAGTAGGAGGGGGAGGACGAGGACGAGGACGGGGACGGAGAAGGAGGAGGAGGAGGAGGAGGAGTAGGAGGAGGAGGAGAGGGAGGCTCGACGGTCGATGTTCGCCTGCCGCCCGCCTTCCGTTCCCCCTCCTGGGCCTCGGGTGAGGTACGAGACCAACGTCCCGTTCGCCTTGCGGTTCATGGTCCTGCTCGCCCCCCCAGCTCCTCTTTCGGCAGGAGGGGGGGGGAACGTTCGGGGGGGATGTCTCGGGCGGGTGCTTCCAGGATCCCAGACTTGTGCGGTGACGGACTGTGCGGTAAGGCCTCTGGGATTTTCGAGGTCACAGCGTGGTCTGTCGCCGCGCCAGTTCGGGGACGCCCACAGTGTCTTGCAGGATGGACAAATTGACACACACACACACACGCACACGCACACGCACACGCACACGCACACGCACACGCACACGCACACGCACACGCACACGCACACGCACACGCACACGCACACGCACACGCACACGCACACGCACACGCACACGCACACGCACACGCACACGCACACGCACACGCACACGCACACGCACACGCACACGCACACGCACACGCACACGCACACGCACACGCACACGCACACGCACACGCACACGCACACACGCACACGCACACGCACACGCACACGCACACGCACACGCACACGCACACGCACGCACACGCACACGCACACGCACACGCACACGCACACGCACACGCACACGCACACGCACACGCACACGCACACGCACACGCACACGCACACGCACACGCACACGCATCCGTAGCCATTTTGGCTCAAGGCTATGAGCCGCCCGACGACCGCGAGTCCGTTTCCGGGCGCCTCCGAGCGCGAGGGGGTTCGCGCTTTGAGGCATTCACCAACCAGCAAGATTTTCTCTCCTGTGGCCGCCCTGGCCGTCAGTCTGCTTCTCGCGGGCACAGCTTTCGAGTCTGTGATAGAGGGGCGATGGCGTCTGCGGCCGCTGGTGGGAAGCCAGGCACTCGAGCAGCACGTCGTGACAAATGGCTCTGCAAGACCTGCCTGGGACGTGATCATAAGCCCTACGTCAACTTCGCGGACAAGCTGTGCTGCAACAGCTGCGGCCTGGCCAAGAGCGTCGTCTACGGGGGCCCAGTCAAAGCCACATCCCCATCCAAGCCAGCGCCCTGGGCCCAGGGAGGCGCTCAAGGCAAGGGCACTGGATCGATCTCGGCGCAGCTGCTGGAGATGCAGAAGCAGGTGCGGTCGCTCACCGCAGAGCTCAAGCCGGCGAAGGCGAAGAGCCCCGCGACCAACGCGCCGACCACCGACGCCGACAAAGGGGACGATGAACCAGGTGTTGAATCGGCTGCCAAGAGGAGACTGGATGAGCTCGACGGTCTTCTCAAGCAGTTGGTGGGGGTCGATGCTCCAGAAGTGGCCAAGCTGGTGGGCCAGTACAGGCAGGAGCAGACCAAGCTGCGCGCGCAGCTGTTCATGGTAAAGCCGCCCTCGCAGCGCATCAAGACCCTCGGTTTCAAGATCACTAAGGTCGAGCAGAAGATCAGCAAGCAGCAGCATGCTCGGGAATCGAAGCAAGCGCAGCTGGAGGCCCTGCAGGCGGAGAGGAGATCGCCAAGCAGGATGCCGCACTCGCAGAGTCCCGCAGGCAGCTACTCGAGCTCGAGGAGCAACGGGTCCAATTCTTGGGTGCTGCGCCGCAGCCGCCCACGGAGCCGCCTGGAGCTGCAGCAGGGCCAGACGAGAGCAGCTGGACGCTGCCCAAGCTGGAGCAGGTGCTGCTTGCTGCTGGGGCCGCTCCTGATCTACAGCATGAGGTGGTTGCGCTCGCGGGTAAGCTCCGTCAGCACCGACATGAGCAGCAGCAGCAGGCCCATGCCCAGCGGCGGGAGGACGATAGGCGGGCCGCAGAATCCGACGAGCAGCAGCAGGACGAAACCATGGGCGAGGCGGCTGAGGAGGCCCAGGAGGAGGAATCGGTTAACCAGGCCTCCGCTGAAGAGCTTCGTGATTTCCCCCGTGAGTCTGGCGATGACTTCCCTGGTGCCGCGGGCGCCGCTGAGGAAGAGCTGCGGGCCGCCGTCAAGCGCATCCGCTTGGCCAAGCCAAAGTGGAAGGTGGCCAAGAAGCCACGCGCAATCTGAGGGCCCCGCATTGCCAACCATGACGAGGACGAACCTACATTTTACCACCGTGAATGCCAATTCGCTTGGCACCCTGACCAAATACCTGGTCGACTGCACCAGCGACGTGGTCATCGCGCAGGAGCGCCATGCGTGCGCTGAGAAGCTCTCTGAGGTCCAAGGGGGCACCCAGGATGTGGGCTGGCGAGGAGTCTGGTGTCCCGTGCTCGAGACCGCGGCTGGAGGCACGGAAGGAGGGGTGGCCGTGTTGGCCAAGACCGACATCACCGTCACCCAGGCGCCGCTGCTAGACGACGGCATCATTGTTCCTGGCAGAGCAGTGGCCGCGCATGTCCATACTGCAGTGCCTGGCGGCTTCGTGGCGGTGGCCCTCTACCTCCACACAGGGGGGAAGGTCGCCTCGCAACCTGGCGCTAACGTGGCAAGTCGTGCAGTATGTCAAGCGGGTGGCCGCAGGACCTGGCTTTGCCTGGGTGGTCGGCGGCGACTTCAACATGTCCCCGCAAGAGATGCTGGAGCACGACTGGCCCCCCCTGGCCAGCGCCAGATGCGTGGCCCCGAGAGAGCCGACTTGCATGCAGGCGGTACCTGCCACGACGCTGGATTACTTCCTGGTCTATAGACCCATGCTCCACGGTGTGGCGTTCGAGGTGGAGGTGTCGCAGTCGGCCATCGCCTGGCCGCGCCGACCCGTCAGGCTGACGGTCGCCAAGCACACTGAGGCACCGATCGCCCGCGAGCTGGACGAGCCGAGACCATTTCCTCGCCAGCCGCCTGTGGGGTGCGCTCGATGTCCCTGGCATGGCTGGGAACAGGTATACCTCTCCATCGACCAGGCGCAGACGCTGCCCCAGCTGGCCGCAGCATGGGACCTAGTCATACGAGGCATCGACGAGGAGCTCGCGGGCAGGCATGACATCGTGGGCCAGCGCCAGGAGTGCCACGTAGGCCGTGAAGGCCCAGTCCAGCAGCGAGAGCGACATCTCCAGTGGAAGCCTCCTGCTCGAAGAGCCCGACATGGCCCCGACGTCGCCCGGTGGAATCTAGCCGCAAGGTCATGCAGGCCAGAGGATATGTGTCCAAGACGGTGGCCAAGTTCAACATCCCATAGGACCTGCTCAATGAACGGCAAAGGGGCCAGGTGGATCCCAGGCTGCACGCTTCGATGCCGGCTGCAACTACTGGCCCAGGTGGGCTCGGCGACGCAGCAGGGAGCCATGCCCCGAGCGCCCTGTGGCAAGGGCGCGCTGCCAGTGAGGCCCGCGGCGGTGGGGTGGCCGACGCCCTCACTCACGGAGGTGCTCCTGGCGGCCTGGTGAGGCGCTGCGACGCTCGCCCCGTCGCCCCCCCTGTAAGCCCGAGCGAGGCCCACCGCGGTGGGGTGGCCAATGCCCTCGCGCACGACGCTGCTCCTGGCGGCCTGGTGAGGCGCTGCGACGCTCGCCCCGTCGCCCCCCCTGTAAGTCCGAGCGAGGCCCACAGCGGCGGCGTGGCCGATGCCCCCGCGCATGGAGTTGCTGAAGGCGGCCTGGGCAGGTGCAGCGACGCTCGCCCCGTCGCCCTCCCAGTAAGCCCGAGCGAGGCCCACCGCGGTGGGGTGGCCGATGCCCTCGCACATGGCGCTGCTCTTGTCGGCCTGGCGAGGTGTCGCGACGCTCGCCCCGTCGCCCTCCCTGTAAGTCCGAGCGAGGCCCACAGCGGTGGGGTGGCCGATGCCCCCGCACATGGAGTTGCTGAAGGCGGCCTGGGCAGGTGTGGCGACGCTCGCCCCGTCGCCCTCCCTGTAAGACCGAGCGGGGCCCACCGCGGTGGGGTGGCCGATGCCCTCGCACAACCCGTTCCCCTCGGCGGCCTGGCGAGGTGCTGCGTCGCTCGCCCCGATGCCCTCCCGATAAGTCCGAGCGAGGCCCACAGCGGTGGGGTGGCCGATACCCTCGCTCCAGCGGGCGACCTGGTGAGGTGTCGCATCGCTCGCCCCGATGCCCTCCCTGTAAGGCCGTGCGAAGCCCACGGCAGTGGGGTGGCCGATGCCCTCGCGCACGGAGCGAGGCGGAACACCATGGACGGGGAGCTGAACCCCAACGACGAGCTCGACGCAATATTAGACGACCAGGACCTGCTCCGTGAGATCCATCTGCCGCCGCTGGAGGCCGAGCCCAATCTGAATGGGCTCGCGGCGGGTGGCCCACATGACTGGTGGAGGCATCGCCGAGGTGAGGCACTATGAAGACCACCAGACTCAGCCCACAGGCCGCGGTGAAGACCCTGAACGTGCGGCTGCTCGCATGATCCAGGCAGCTTTCCAACGGGAAATCAACAGATTTACTCAGCATTGGATAGGGAACCCACTCAACGACCAGCAGACCGAACAAGATGTGTTCAACGACTGGATGGAGTGGTGCGTGCCGTGCACAGCCGAGGAGCTGCGCGGCCCTGCGTACAACGCCCTGCGGCACGAGGGCGACTGGGATCAAGACCTCCCTCACGAGGCCAGGAGATGGCAGCGTGCTCAGGAGATGTGCGAGGGGGCCTATCGCTCTGGCAGCCGAAGCCGCAGGCGCTACCGCTCCCACCTGCATCATTTGCGCGACAGCTCCCACGCGGAATGGGCAGAGGCCGTCGGCATGCACCTACGCGCCTTCGAGCAGCAGCGGCAGTGGCTGGACCGACGCTCAGGCGAACGAGATGGCCGCGCTCTTCCACCACGTCCTCAAAGAGACGCACGAGGCATGGTCTTCCACGGCCTGCAACATCGCAAGTGGGTCCACAGCTCGGCGGTGGAGCTCGTCGCCTTCGAGAAGTTCTGCAATCGCATCAGCAAGCAGCAGCGCATCCTCAGGCGGCTGAATGAGGAGGCTCGTCAGATGATGCAGTCGGGCCCAGAGCTGCGGGCCCACAGCGCCGTGGAGGCCAAGCTGCGGGATGTCATCGAGAAGGCCAAGCAGCTCACTGCAGAGGCGGAGGCGAAGTGCACCAGAGCCTGGACCTCGTGGGCGAGATTGGCCTTCTCAGGAGGCGCAGGGCTTGCCCACCGCTTCGCCAAGCCGAGGCAGGAGGTGGAGGTCCCCCGAGCCAACGCCAGCGGCCACCCGTGCGACCTGGCTAACACCGAGCTAGGTGACTGGAAGACGATCTGGGAGCACCACAAGCTTGGGGCGGTGCCGCTACCCCCAGGCGCCGAAGACTGGCCAGACCTCCCGCATCTCACCGTGCAGGGCATTCGCGGTGCCATTCGCTCCTTCAAGCTGGGCACAGCCGTTGGCCAAACGGGTTTCCACCCGAAGCCGTTGGACGTCCTCTCTGACGGAGCGATATTGGCATTATCACTGCTTTTCCATGCCTGCGAGCATCACCTTGGGTGGCCGCCGCAGCGCATCGTCACGGCCCTGGTCAGGCTACCCAAGACTGGAGGAGGAATGAGATTGACCGGGCTGCTCAACACGGTGGTCCGATTGTGGAGTCGTGCGCGTAGGCCGTTGGCCGCCCAGTGGGAAGCAGCCCGCCGAGCGGAGCACGCCTGGGGGCTTGGTCAAGGCAGGAGCTCGTCTGCCGCCGCCTTCGCCCATAACCTGTCCACGGGGATCGCGCTGGCCAGGAAGCAGGACGCGATCACCATCATGGTGGACCTCCACAAATGTTTTGAAATGGTGGCACCAGCCGTTCTAGTACAGGAGGCGAAGGCTGTCGGGTTTCCACCGCGACTTGCGTGGCTACTGGTCCAGCTGTACTGCCAGCCACGAGTCGTTCGGGCTCACGGTAGTGAGGGCGACCTCTACACATCGTACCAGGGCATTATGGCAGGGTGCTCGCAGGCGACCACGCTGCTGGCAGTGCTCATGCATAGGGCGATGCTGCGGGTCACGGCGCTGTGCCCAACGCTGAAACCCAGGCAGTGGTGGACGACGTGACATTACAATGGGCTGGACCCGAGCATCGCAGCACAGCGGCGTTAGGTGAAGGCATTGATCAGCTCACCCGTGAACTCGAGCCCCTCAAGCTGCCCATCCAGATCAAGAAGCTCGGCTATGTGGCCTCATCCAGCCGTGCCGTGAAGAGATTTCGGTGGGCCGCACGGGCACGTCGGGTCACGGAGCTACCATGGGTTCGCAACCTCGGACATGAGTTGGGAGGCGCGCGAGTCAGACGACGTCAGGAAGCTGAGCGACTGGGGCAGCTACGGCGACGAGTGAGAAGAACCAGAATCCTCAAGAAAGCAGTGGGCGCCAGGCGAGTGACCCGACTACCGACGGCTGGCTTCATCCCCTCAGTCGCGCACGGCGCCACCGTAAGCGGCATTGCCGACGCCGCACTCAAGCAGATCAGGACGGTGGCGGCCATGGTTGCTGGTGTGCGACCGACGGGCAGCATCAGCATGGGCATGCTCATGCAGGACTACGCGCTGTACGACCCACTCTACTACGCGACCAGCAGCATCGCCTTCATGTACTCCACGCGCGCCTGGGAGAACCTAGTGCCACTGCAGTCGCTCACGGACGTTTGGCACCACGTGGACAGCCAGATGCGCGTGCAGCACAGCTGGGGCAAAGTGCGAGGGCCCGCCAGCGCCCTGTGGCTCGCCCTGGCTCGTATCGGCTGGCGGCTCAGCTCGGCAACCACGTTCGGGACTGACCTCGGCACCATCATAAGTCATAAGTCTCCTGGAGATGTCGCCTCGTGACGTCCGCGACCAAGTCATCCAGGGGGTCACGCGCTGGCTGTTGGCGCGGGCGGCGACCCACATCGCCGAGCACAACGGTGAGCAGTTCTGGCACCGCGGCATCAGGAGGTGCGTCGAGAAGGCCGTTCGGGATCCTTCCGAACGAGGCTCGCTGCAGTGTGTCTGGATTGATGCGATGTGGCCGCGTCAGAAAAGTTTGAGAATATGCTCATATATGACGGGAGCTGCCTGGCTTGCGGAGCGGAGCGTGGAACCCAGGGCCACCGTTGGTACACCTGCCCTGCCCTCCTGGGCCCTAGCCTGCACAATTCGGAAGTTCCTGAGGCGGGGGGGGGGCGGGTGCCTCGAGTTTTTTTTTATTTTTTCCTTCGGAGGTTGTTTTTCTCCCTCGAGGCCCCCCCCCCCCTCCCTCTCGGGGGGGGGGGGCGGGAAGGGGCCGGGGGCCCCGAGGCTTTTATTGTTTCCCTCGCAGGCTTATTTTTTTCCCCCCCCTCGGTTCTTTTTTGAATCCCCCCCTCGAGGCTGGTGGGGGGGGACAACGGGGGCCAGGGCGGGGGGAACGGGGGGGGGCGCCCAGAGAGAGGGCGGGGGGCGGAGGGGGGGAGGAGGGGGCTCCGCCGAAGGGGGGCCTCGCCGAAGGGGTGCTCTGGCGTGGGCCTTCGGTAAATCGGATTTTTCAGATAGGTTTCCGGGAACATGATTCCTTGGGCTTCCGCCCACCGCCCCAACCATGTTTCCAATAGGCTTACCGACAAGGCCAAAAGGCGCCCTTCGGTAAACCCCCAGAGGCCCGCCTCTTAGAGAGCCGAACAAATCATGCTCTTGGAAAGATTCCCGGGAACATGATTCTCTATATCGGAGTAGGCCGGGGGGGGGGGCGGGTCGCTGCCTGTTGAACAGGCCCTGTTCCCCCCATCGGTGCCCAGCCGGGGTTGCAGGGGGGGTCCAGAGCTCCCGAGGCGGCCCGAACCCGCCCCGAAGCAGGCCACGACAGGCTAATGGAGGTCCCAAGAGGGCCCAAGACGGTCCCACGAGGCCCCGAAGACGCCCAAGATGCCCTCAAGACAGCCGACGAGGACTCCAACACGCTCCAGGACAGACTCAAGAGACTCCCCAAGAGGGCCCTCGAAGTCAAGATTCACTCGCTTTCCGAGTGTTTTGGATTTTGGCATTCTCGCTTTTCCCGCTTCCCAGCGCTCACTTCACGGCCTCGGAGACCCTTCAGATCGCTCCAAGACGGGCCACGAGGCCCCGACGAGGGCCCCAAGACGGCCCAGGAGGCTCCCCAGACAACCCAGGTGTGCCCCAAGAGCGCGCCAAGAGGAGGCCCAGAGGGGTCCCGATGCGGCCCGGACCCGCCCCGAAGCAGGCCATGACAGGCTAATGGAGGTCCCGAGAGGGCCCAAGACGGTCCCAAAGGCCCCGAAGACGCCCAAGATGCCCTCAAGACAGCCGACGAGGACTCCAACACGCTCCAGGACGGACTCAAGAGGCTCCCCAAGAGGGCCCTCGGAGGCAAGATTCACTAATTGCCTATGGTTTTTGAAGGATTTAGGCGTTCTCGTTTTCCCCGCTTCCCAGCGCTCCCTCACGGCCTCGCTCGGAGGTCCTTCAGATCGCTCCAAGACGGGCCACAAGGCTCCGAAGAGGGCACAAAGACGGCCCAGGAGGCTCCCCAGACAACCCAAGTGTGCCCCAAGAGCTCCCCAAGAGAGGGCCCAGAGGGGGACCGCCAACCGATATTTCGAAGTCTCTGGCCCTAGTACTAGAGGCCGCCTGTAGGCCCGAGGCCACTACGAGGCTCCCACGAAGCCCCGTGAGGCGCCCAAGAGGCCCCCAGGAAGCCCCAAGAGACCCCCAAGGGGCTCCCAGGGAACACCCAAGAGGCTCCCCAACACACCCTAAGAAATCATGTCCCCAGAAAACCTTCTGGGGACATGGTTCATCATGGGCCCGAGAGTTCCCGGAGGCCCCCAAGTGGCCCCCAGGGTACGCCGAAGAGACCCCCCAACACACCCCAACAAACCATGTCCCCAGAAAGCCTTCTGGGGACATGGTTTATCATGGGACCGCGAGTCTCCGGAGGCTTCGAAGCACCATCATGATACAGGAGGACTGTTTGGGAAGTTGATTGGGAACATGACTGATCGCCTTCTCGCGGCCCTCCGCAGATCGTTTCGCACAAAGTTGCCCCAAGTGCCCTCTTGAACCGACGACGACGACGACGACGACGACGAAACGACGAAGACGACGACGACGACGACGACGCGCCCCAATAGGCGACGACAACATTACGACGACGACGACGACGACGACGACGACGACGGCACGCCCCAGCAGGCTCCCCAAGACGCCCCCAAACCCATGCTCCCAGAAGGCCCTCTGAGAACCCGATTCATACGGCCTCCGCCCCCCTACACAACCATTTTCCTCGAAGGCCCTTCGGAGGGCAGATTGGCATGCGTGCACTGTGGTCTTCTACTTCAGTGGAGCAGTGAATTCGCGAAGGCCTG